GAGAGAGAGAGAGAGAGAGAGAGAGAGAGAGAGAGAGAGAGAGAGAGGATCCCAAGCAGGCTCTGCTCTGTCAGCGCAGAGCCCGAAGCGGGGCTCGAACTCCCAAACCACGAGATCACGACCTGAGATGAAACCAAGAGTCGGACGCGTCACCCACTGAGTCGCTCAGGTGCCCCTCAAAGAGCTTTACAAAAGCTAGAGAGAAAGCTGAATCTGACAGGCTTGTGAGGATGAAGTCAGTTCAAAGCGACAGACGGGACGGAGGCGATCCCGGCAGGATCCCGGGAGACGGGGAGGGCACCCACCTCGTTGATGCTGATCTCGGCCTCCACATACTGAAGTCCCTTCTGCAGGATGGAGATGAGGGCGGCTGGCGGCACTAGCGTCCCATTGATGTTGGACTGGCTGATGTGGCTCTCGATACCGAACGTGAACGCCGAGTGGGAAAAACCTGCCGCGACAGAGAGGGAAGCTGGGGTGCCACGAGGCCCGAAGGCAGCACCGCCACCGAAGTCGAACGTGCCTCGTTAGCGGGGGCACACGTGGCCGTGGGACGCCCAGCTTCGGGTCTGGGGAGAAGCGGAGGGACGGGCAGGGCGGAAGGGACACAGCAGGGTCAGACCTGCTTGCAGGGGACGGAGACACAGCTTGAGAGGTAGAGCCATTTCGGCGTTAAGAGCCAAACGGAGCCCAGCGTGCCCTGGGCTAAACGTCGTGCCACTGCACCTCTGGGCTTCCTCTCCGCCTTCCGTCAGTCCCTCCGGAGCTCCCCGTCCCCGAGTGCCCCCCGACCCCGCTGCAGTGCACACAGGGCACCTGTCTTTAGCCGGGCTCCGAGCGCTCAAGGTGGCTGGGGGTAGAGGAACCACACAAGCAAACATCCGAAGAAAAGGAGGCTGTTCTGGACCCGCTGGGGCGGCTTGAGCTGTTTCATCTGATAACTGGTCACGTTATTAGAGATGCCAGCTCCCCCCACCCTTCCCTCAACACTCGTCGGTCAGGGTGGTGGTTCCGGAATGCGGCAGACAACGCCGGTTCCAGGAGGGGCGGCAACAACGCAGGGCAGGGGGCAGGAGCACTCATGACCCACGTGGGTCCTAGGGCGATGGGGAACCCACAGTGGCCCTTCGTCAAGGACAGTAAGGGGGCATCTTACTGCCGGAGTCCGCGGCTGATGCAGCCCTTCTCCACGAGGGGGCAGCCCAGTCTGCTGGGGGTACCGCGTTCACCTTGCTCGGTGTGGGGAGGCCGAGGGTGCCGGGGAGCTGGGAATCCTTGTGGGGTGGAGGCTGTGTGATTAACAGGGACCCCTAGGCTCGGCTCCCAGGCTGGGGGTGCGGTGGGGCCAAAGGCACTTGTGACTCTGAACTCTCTCACCATTTATACTGTGGGAAGAGAAGGGAGCAGTTCTGGGGTGAAGCGTCTACCTGCCGGCTGCCCTGCCCACTGTTCACACACGGCAATGCTGGAGTGTCCCCGGCGTCTGCGTGTCCCATAAGGCTGGACCCTTCAGACCTGTCTCAGAGTTACCCCCTTGGTATGGCTTCTCCTGGGCTGGGCCCGCCCCCCCCCCCCCCCCCCCCGCTGCTTGTGGGGGTCCTGCAAACCCTGCTCTCAGGGAGGTGTCCCCGGGCAGCACGACCCATCCCTGCTGGCTCATCCTACGTGCGGCCCTCCAGCACGGGACTCCCCGGGGTCCCTGCCGCCCGCCCTCCCTCCCTCCTGCGGCTAGAACGCCACCTTCACCCGCCACACCGACGGCGGTGGCAGTGAGCAGGCCCGGCCTCTGTCGGATTCCACACCCGAACAGCCGAGGCAATAACCACAGTGCTCAGCAGATGGGAATGTTCCTCCGTGAAAGGAGGCTTCCTGTGTGTGCGGCCTCCTCTCCTTTCTCTACTCTCCACTCCTCCTCCACCCAGGCCTGTCGGCTCCCCAGTGCCTGATTATAAAGAATATATAAAACGTGGACTTTATTTCACAGAGTCGTATGGTAGCCGCTGTTGGTTTTACAATCCGCTGCACGGAGGCCGTGAACTGCCTCGCACAACTGTAAGCACCTAACTGAGGCCGCACGGGACTGCCCCTCCGAGGCCCTCCCCGCGGGCTGCCCCCCAGCCTCCTCTTCTCCCTCCTCCTATGTGTCCCCCATCCCTGTGGCCATAACACAACCCCCACCCCCTCCCCCACCACACCCCTGTGGCCATAACACAACCCCCACCCCCTCCCCCCCTCTGTGGCCATAACACAACCCCACCCCCTCCAGTGGCCATAACACAACCCCCACCCCCTCCAGTGTTAACCAGTGACTATATCCTGAGTCTCGGCCCTGCTAGAAATCTTATCTCCAAGCTTTCATCTGTCAGGTTGCCAGCGGTGTAGATGGAAAAGCCCAGGTGAGTGGATAGAGCAGGGGCAAGTAGATTCCTGGCCTGACTCGCTCTTGCCTGGGGTCCTCACCATATACCCCGGGCCACAGTGATCTGTCGGTCTTACAAACTCCTGACTCTCCCTGCCTGCTGACCCCACTCACCCGGCTCCTGCCTTCTCCTCCATCTGCGGGCTCGACCAGCTAAGGGCACGGGACACTGGATTTCGAGGGCCATTTTTCTTATTCTCCTGGTTGGTATCTTTAAAGGGCCTTGTGCAAGGAATTGCACGAGTAATAAAAATGATAGGCAGGCCTTGTGTGGTGCGTCCTCTCCACCAGGCACCGCTCCAACAGCTCGCCACGACTTCCCTTAAAGCCTCTTGGTAACGCTCTGCCTCGCTACCCCAAGTGCAACTTTCCCTTTTACAGGCCAGGTCTTGAGATCCCTCCAGGAACCCACAGGCCCCAGACACTTGGCTGGGGCTGAGATCCAAACCCGGGCAGAGGGAAACCACTCTTAGCTTCCTTGGTGACTCGACCTAAAAACATCTGCCGATGCCATAATCCGAGCACAGCACGGAGAGCAGACAAGGTTCCTAAGAAGAGGTCAGTCTCAATGACTAAGGGGCAACACTAGCAGAGAGGTCAAGCTTCTGGTGTATGTCTTAGTTCCTACAGTCGGCAGCTGTAACAAAATCCCACAGACTGAGGGGCTTACAAACAACAGACACTTATTCCTCACGCTTCTGGAGGCTGGAAGTCCAAGATCAAGGTGCCAGACAGACCTGGTGTCTGGTGAGGGCTGCTTTCCGGTTCATAGACGGCCGTCTTTTCCGTGTCCTCACATGGCAGAAGGGGTGAGCTAGCTCTGGGTGGGGGCGGGGGTGGGGGGTGGGGGTCTCCTTTAAAAGGACACGAATCCCATGCGTGAGGATTCCGTCCTCACAACATAACCACCTCCCAAAGGCCCCACCCGCTAACACCATTGACAGCGGGGGGGGGTCAGGATTTCAACATAGGAATTCGGGAGGGGACGCGAAATGCAGAGTATTTCCTTCCTCTGTTCCTTCTTTCTTCATCTTCCAGACACCAGCCACAGAACTGCCACTTAAGGCACACAAAATCGCAGGTTCCAACCGCATTACTTCCTTTAACCAAACCTGGGCACTCTGTGCCCACTATCTCTACAGGGCAGCTGCTCAGTTGTTGTGGTTATTGCCTTACACACGAGAAGAGTAAATATTGGAGAAATCAGGTAAGTGGGTCAAGGCTCACGCACACAAGGCAGTAAATGTCACCTCCAGACTGTATGACTCCAGGATTTGCCGTTTCACCCTCCCCCCTCCGCCACCCTCCATGACACCCCCAAGCGCAGGAACCAGAATTCTCAGCTCCTCTGGGTGGATGCCACCTCCGTTCCCAGGCGGGACACGCTGGCGGTTCCCGGTGCCACACGGGCAACGTGTGAAGGACGAGGTGCAAGCTCACGTCTAACTCAACGCCCGTCCTTGATGTCCTTCTGCATCCGGGGGCTTAAATGCTGCCACTGAGGTTTCGTTTTCCGAATTTCTGATCTCTCTCCGTGATAATGCTTTGCAACGTGTATTGCACTTCTAGAAGGTGGCGAGGACAACGTTCAGTGAAGATGTGTTGCAAGACAGGGATGAAGCAGTGAAGATTAACCCAAGCGGCGGGAATCTAAGACTGCAAAGAGCGTGGGCGAGGAATCGTGACAATGAACTTCCCCTGCTGAAGCAAAGTGACTGAGCAGACAAAGGTCTACGGGAGTGCCATGACCTTGAACACGTGTCATTGAAACTTGTGTCCCCTACTAGAGGGCACAGGAAATCATGACTGGAAACCAGATATCTTCAGAAACGCATGCGGTATTGTTCCACGTCACTGCTGACACGAGTCCCTCCTATTTGCTTAGATTTACATTAGCTGCCGGGACGCCTGGATGGCTCCCTCGGTAGAACATGCAACTCATGATCTCAGGGTACTGAGTTCAAGCCCCACGTTGGGCATGGAGACTACTTAAAAATAAATAAATACATAAGTAAATACATAAATAAAATCACCTTAGCTTCATTTCTTTGGGCAAATCTATGCATGACCTCTCAATGCTTTTGGTTTCTTTTTGGTTTGGGTTTGTTTTTGTTTTTGTTTTTTCTTTAATCCATTTGTTTTTAAGACTTCCTTCTTGCAGGAGGGCCAGGTGGAGAAAATGTCAGCAACAGGCGGAACACTGGGTCTGCCCTCGATCCCCCATGAGTGCCTGGGCCAGCTCACTTCATTTGGCTGGGCCTCTGTTTCCTGTTCTTCGGTATGGGGTTAGCAAGGACCTCAAGGAGCTGATGAGAGAAGCAGCTGTGACAGTGACACGGCCGACACACGGTTTTCAATCTAGAGAAGACCACGAACCCGCAGACGCGTTCTTTCTCCACCTCTCCTCATTTGTGCAGTGAGGACACTGGACGAAGCAGTCACTCGCACACTTTGCAGTCCTGATGCTCATTCGTGGTGGAACAGAGAGATGTTCACAGACCACGCAAGCAAGGCCTGCTTGAGCACCTGGTCTCAGGCCACGGCCGCCCAGGTGCTGGGAGAGGCGCCATCTTGGAAGACTGGCGTCTCCAGACTGGATGCCTCTCCCCCGGGGCGGGGGGGGGGCCCACACTCTACCGTGCCAGCGCTGCTCTCTCCCCAACTGGGCTGCAAGGCTAATGAGCGCATTCACCTCCGGTCTGCCTGAGACGTAGGACTTCTGGGCTTTCTGCCTCTTCGGCTTTCCCGCAGCTTTTGATGTACGTCTCCTTCCGCCCAAGGGGACATGCATACCAACAAAGCAGTGGTATCAATGACAGAGACAGAAACGCTCAGGACTGGCTCAATGGCAGGTGTGGAAGTTGTTACAAACAACTTCCGAAGAACAGGAAACAGAGGCCCAGCCAAATGAAGGGGAATAGAGAGCTTGGTGGCACCTCGATGGAAGAGCTGCGTGAGGGCAAAGCATTAGTGCCCCCGCTGCCTAACCCTCGGCCGGCCTGGAGTCGTTACTGAAGCCAGCAGGCCTGCTG